GAGCAGGGAGCCCGATGCGGGACTCGATCCCGGGACTCCAGGATCATGACCTGAGCCGAAGGCAGTCGCTCAACCAACTGAGCCACCCAGGCGCCCGCATGTAGTTCTCTCTTAACACCTGCATGTCGCAGGGCTTAAAGTAATAAGATTGGTGTGTTTGAAATAATAGAACAAAGTAAAACGCTACAACGTAAATATCTAGCAGGTATTTCTTTCTGCCTTATATCATAGTTATTAACATACCTGCATTCCCATAGTACCTACCTCATTACTTTGTGCAGAGTGTTTAATAAATGGGACTTCACTCTTGCTTTCTGCTAAAAGCCACTTCAGGCCCCATTTCTCCTGCCTGCTTAGGAACTCCATGTGTGTCCCTGGTTGACCCTCATCTTGTAGACACCCTGAGATTCCTGAGTCGTGATGTGGCTTCTGTTAGACCCTCATCCTCTTCATTGACTAGAAGGGAGATGCAGGGAACACCTACTTTGATTTGGAAAGTCTTGGAGATCTCTGGTTTTCTAGCGTTGGCTGTTACTGGAGTCTCGCACAAAGCATTTGCTCAGTAAAGGGTGGTCGTTTATTAACAAAGAGCATATACTGACTATACTGTAGATCTGTGTTAGTTAATCATGAGCACAAGTATAATCAGCTCTTCATATTTATGTGATTATTAGAATAGATACCAAAGGTTTAAAAACAATGGGGGAAGAAAAGCTTAAAGTTTTTCAGCAAATTGGGCAGGGAGGAATCCCTGTAATACTTTGTTTTAGGTCTTACATATAGCAGGATGTATGGGGAGTGTCATTTGGCCCCATTGTGTGGTCTTTTGAAACATGAAACATTAGAAATAAATTTAATTTCAGGATTTTTATTTTATATCCAGTTACTTAGGTAGACTTATTACATAGATTCAAAACTTCAGGTTTTCATACTTTATGTGTGATAGAAAACTTTGGTTGCAAGTACAGAAAATCTACTAACTTAAACTGTAAGGAATATTTTGGTTCGTGTAACTGAAAGCTCATCAGGGCTCAGGTGCTGACTGAAAATAATAGAACTGTGGTGGTTTTAGGCTTCCTGGGTGCAGGTATCAGTGTCCCAAGAGAGAGAGACACCATTGCTTTGGGTAGCATTAATTTAAAAATGAGAAAATATGTTACCCTGAAAGCCCTGGCTTTTTTATCCGGTTACTTTCTTGACTCACATTTTATTGGTACTTACTCTAATGGGTCATGTGCCCATTCCTGAGCCAGTCTCTACGATGAGGACATGCCGTGCCCCGATTGGCTTAGCTAAGCCTGTGTTCCTGATCAGTGGGGTCAGCTTCCTCTGAACGCCTGGGTTGAGTAGGAGAGGAGTGATAGCTGAGTGGACATCAGGGCACCCTGAGGAAGGGGAAAGGATCCTAAGCAGAGTCGGCCATGATCACTGCAAGATAGCACAGGTAATGGTAATAGTTGGGACTCTCTCACTGCAGGTAACAGAAAACCCAGCCTTTTATGGCTTAAGTGAAAAAGGTTGTTTATTGGCTCCTATCATGGAAACGTCCACAGGTAGAGTAGCTGCAGGGATGGCTAGTTTCAGGACTCATAGATTCTTCTTCAGCTCTCTATCTTGGCCTCTTTCTTGCTCTTTTCACCCTATCTTAGAAATATAGACTCTCCCCTTGTATCACCAGATGGCTGGATAGCTCCTCTCTTCCTCCTCATATTCCACGAGAAAGAGCAAGCATTACCAGAAGCTGCCATAAAAAATCTTGTTGTAGCTTATTGGCTCTCATAGGCCCATCCCTGACGAGTTAGATTATTGTGGCCAGGAAAGTATGATGTGCTGATAGTAACACAAAAATTACTCCAAAAGGTTGGGCTAGGGTAGGTCTTGCTTTACCTAAACTGCAGGACAGAGCGCGGGGGAGGTGTGGTTTTCCAAGGAAATGGGGTACTGGACAAATGTCCACCTCAGGCTTGAACAGGTTTGTGCATTTTTCATGAAATAGTTACTAAACCAAACACTGTAGATGTTTGTATCTCCAGTAGAGAAGACATATCGGTATGGATAAAATGATGTCATTATTTATGTTTTATTTTCTAATTTGAAAAAAATGTCATAATTGTATAATTTTTACTTACAGCCAATTTGTCTTTTTAATTTGTATACAAAGTTTCATTCCACTTTGACTTTAGCTCTGCATGGTGTGTGGTCAGGTTAATTTGCAATAGAATATCTGCTTACAGGTATACTGAAGATTTTGTAGAGGTGCTTATATGAATCCTTCCTCTTTTTCCCCCCCCCGCCTTGGGGGGTGTCCCATAGATGAAAAAATGTTTAAAACCCTTAAAGAAGAAGGAAATCAATGTGTAAAGGACAAAAACTATAAAGATGCCCTTAGTAAATACAGTGAATGCTTAAAGATTAACAACAAGGAATGTGCCATTTATACAAACAGGCAAGTTCTTTGTAACTTTACGTATTTATGTTAATTTTTTTTTTGGGGGGGGGATTAAAAAGTATAGACCGATTAATTGCCAAAGTTTTTTCTCCATCGTTTGGAGAATTTATATAGCATATTGTCCTAAGTGTTTTTCAAAGGGGCGGGGGCCATAGGCGTTCCAGAGAGACTGACAGCATGCGGTGTGGCGGGCTGAGGGTCCCCGTGGGCTGCCCTTGCTTCCGCTTCCTGGCCGCCCAGCTCCCTGTGCCCAACCAGGCCCGTGCGTGGTCGGCCCTGTAGGAGCAGGACTCAGCTGTCTTTCTGACGCGTTTCCTAAGTGTCCTTTCTCTCTTGGAGTCCTAAGGGAGGGTACCAGCATCCTTCAGTGTGTAGCAGGAATGGGCAGATTGTTCTGGAAAGCTGCTGAGAGGCAGTCTTTACCACATGATGGTAAAAGATTGCTATCTAGACTCCGGTGATGTGGGGATTTTCAGGAATAGGTAGAGTCTGGGGTGACAAGAAGAGTGAGGATAGTTCCTAAAGAGCAGGGACTCCCAGCACACGTTTTCTTAGCTATTTCAGATGAATTCTTTTTACTCCGACCTCTCACTGCTTTGTTTTTGTGCATGTTTTCCTCTGTTGGCAACCATTTTGTCAAAAACGTTGTCACTAACTCCACCAGGTAGTGTTCTCCCCTTCTGCTCAGCCTCTGCGGTCCGTGGTATGGGCGGTTGCTCAGTTGGGCCTGAAACCGCCTCGCCCTTTGATGTCAGTACAGGGGGCTCACTGGGCAGCTCTCCTCTCCTCCCTCCACAGGCCTTCCTTCCCCTGCCCTTCTCGGGGTTCTGAAGGCGCAGATCCCTTTTTCACCCTGCATGCTCTCTGAGCCAGTCCATCTTCTCCCCAGTCCCCCTACCACCTTTCAGGTGTGCCCGCCGCCCTGTCCATCTCCCTCTGGGCTCCAGACCCGAGTACTCCACTCCTGTCTGCACTCCTGACTGACGCCTCCCTCTCCCGGGCTCTCTGCAAACTGGGATGTCCCCCTTCCAAATTCCTCTTTGGCGGGAGCCTTTCTCTCCGACCTCACTGTCACCCCTGTCCTGGGCCACCACTGACTCCTCCTAGATGTTTGCAGCACCCTCCATACTACCCTGCATGTCTTCTTCCCTCTTGTCTCCTTCTCCAAGGTTGCAACTCGAGCTATCTTTCTAAAACCTGGTGAACATGTTAGCCCTATTTGAGAACCCATTGGTGGACCTCCATGGAGCTCAGGAGAAAGCTCAGCCTCCTTGCCATGATTTATGGGACCCTTCACCATCTGGCCTGGCCTCCCTTCTAGCTCATCCCTGCACCCAGCCATATGGCGCTTTTCTTAGCGCATCAAGAGCACTGTGTGCTCGCTCGCTCGCTCTCTCTCTCTCTCACTGTGAGACTCTGCTCTTGCTGGGCCCCTGGCCACCACTCTCCCCTCCTACATCTTAACTCTTGGCCCAGTGCCTTTGCACTGGATAATTCTCACCTCATGGTCTGGGCTTCAACTTAAATGTAACTTCTTCTGGGAAGTCTTCCCTGACTACTCCTGCCCTTGCCTCAGCCCCGCCAGATTCCGTGACATTCTCAGCTGTGTGCTCCCAGAGAGAGCATCCTGTTTAGATTATACTGTGTTTGCTTGTTTTAAGTGTCTCTCTCTTCCACTAGACTGTAGCCTCCTTGAGGGGCCCAGACTGTATTTTGTTTGCAGTTGTATCCCCAATGCCATGATTACATGCATTGCAAGAAAACGCCATGATTGGAGATATGTTGTCTTCGCTGTTCATAATACCTCGTTCCTTTCATACTTACGTTACACCAGAGCGCTCTGTTACTTGAAGCTGCACCAGTTTGAAGAGGCAAAGCAGGACTGTGATCGGGCACTGCAGATCGATGACGGGAGTGTGAAAGCGCACTATAGACGAGCTCTGGCTCATAAAGGACTCAAGGTGAGGACATCTTCAGTTGTTGTTTTTTTATAGAATTTTTTTATTTATTCATTTGAGACAGAGACACAGAGCAGGAGCAGTGGGGAGGGGCAGAGAGAGAGGGAGAAGCAGACTCCCCACTGAGCAGGGAGCCCAATGTGGGGCTCGATCCCAGGACCTGGAGATCATGACCCGAGCCGAAGGCAGACGCTCAACCATCTGAGCCACCCAGGTGCCCCGGAACTCTTCATTTTAATATGTAAATTGCAGCTCTGAAAACAGCATGTGGTTTTTATGAACATAAATCCTCGGATCATGGAAAGGGAATGAGATTATCCTGGGATTTAATCCTGCTTCTGTGCTAACCAGTCCTGAAACCTGGGAATGGGCCTCAGATTTCCCCTACCTTTAATGTGGAGCTAGATAATTTCTAAGATTCCTTCCAGCTCAAAAATTAGGATTTATTTGCTGATTTTCTAAGGAATTTTATTAGTTATCATAGGTCCACTTTAAGGGACAGGAAGGTTTGCTACTGAATCACTGAAGGCAACCAGCAATGCCGCTGGATTCCTCCACCAAACGATTGGGGTTGTCTGTGGGGTGGGAGGAAGGCGTCGGAACGGAAGATTAATTCACCCAGGGGAAGTTGGTAGAGACATATCAGAGATTGGGAAGCTGATGGTGATTTGGGCTTTAAACTGGCTGGTTGGTTATCAGTGTGAGACTGTGGAGTGATGTTCTTCTCTAAGAAAACCACACCGTTATTTTCAAAGTATTGTATAATTTACACTTTTCTTTAGACTGAGTCTTCTGTGGAAATACTTTAATGAATGTTCATGTTTGTAGAAAGTAACATCAGAAGGACAAATTAGAACATACTGGGCTGTGGCATTTTTTGAAATTGTATTTCTTTTTTTTTTTTTTTAAAGATTTTATTTATTTTTATTTGAGACAGAGAGAATGAGAGAGAGAGAGCACATGAGAGGGGGGAGGGTCAGAGGGAGAAGCAGACTCCCCGCCGAGCAGGGAGCCCGATGCGGGACTCGATCCAGGGACTCCAGGATCATGACCTGAGCCGAAGGCAGTCGCTTAACCAACTGAGCCACCCAGGTGCCCCTGAAATTGTATTTCTTAAAAACCAATTTGTTTTAGGGCCTAATACAATGAAATTCACACATTGTAAGCCTACAGGTCATTGACTTTAAGTTGAGATATGATTGACATATAACATTGTATTAGTTCTGAGTGTATAACATAATGATTCGATTTGCAAAATGATCACCACAGTAAGTCTAGTTAGCATCCCATCAGCACACATCATTACCATTTTTTTTTCCTGTAATGGGAACTTTTAAAGATCTACTCTTGTAGCAATTTTCAGATACACAGTACAGTGTTAAAACTGTCGTCACCATGCGGTCCGTTATATGTATCTGCATGACTTATTTTTTAACTGGACGTTTGTACCTTTTGACAAACCGTGTCACCCACTCCCCACTCCCCGCCTTGCCTCTGACAACCACCAGTTTGTTTTTATATCTGTGAATTCAGTTTTCTGTTTTTTTCTAGATTTCACGTACAAGTGAAGTCATACGGTAATTGCCTTTCTCTGTTTGCCTTATTTCACTTAGCATATGTCCCTGAGGTCCACCCATGTTGCTGGCAGATGGCAGGGATTTCCTTTTGTTGGAATAATATTCCATAGTGTAGCTATATCACATTTTCTCTGTCCGTTCATTCAGTAACGGACACTTAGGTTGTTTCCATGTCTTGGCCGTTGTAAATATTGTTGCAGTAAACATGGGGGTATGGTATCTTTTAGATTTAGCGTTTCCATTTCCTTCAGATAAATACCCAGAGGTGGGATTGCTGGATCATATGGTTGTTCTAGTTTTAGTTTTTTTTAAGGAGCCTCCGTGCTGCTTTCTGTAATATTCCCACCGCCAGCGCACAGGGGTTCCCCTTTTCCCACGTCCTCAGTAACACCTGTTGTTTCTTGTGTTGTTGAGTTTAGCCATTCTGACAGGTGTGAGGTGATAGCTCATTGTGGCTTTGATTTGCGTTTCCCCGATGATGAGTGATGTTGAGCATCTTCTCATGTACCTGTTGCCCATCTGTATGTCTTCTTTGGAGAAATGTCTGTTCAGTTCTTCTGCCCTTTTATTAACCAGATTCTTTTTTTGATATTGAGTTGTTTATGTATTTTGGATATTAACCACTTATTAGATATGTGATTTGCAAATATTTTCTCCTACTTGGTAGTTTTTTCATTTTGTTTCCTTCACTGTGCAGAAGAAGCTTTTTAGTTTGGTGTAGTCCCAGTTGTTTACTGTGATTTTGTTACCTTTGCTTTTGGTGTCAAATCCGAAACCCAAGACCAGTGTCAAGGAGCTTTACTGGCTTTGTTTTCTTCTAGGAGTTTTATGGTTTCAAGTCTTATGTTCAAATTTAATCCACTTTGTGTTGATATTTGTGGATAGTATAAGATAGTGGTCCAGTTTTCCCGGCACCATTTATTGAAGACTGTCCTTTCCCCAGTGAGAATTCTTGGCTCCTTTGTCATAAATTAGTTGGCCGTATATGCATGGATTTATTTCTGGGCTCTCTATTCTGTTTTATTGATCTCTGTGTCTGTTTTTATGCCAATACCGTACTGTTTTGATTACTGGAGTTTTGTAAATATAGTTTGAAATCAGGAATTGTGATGCCTCCAGCTTTGTTCCTTTTCAAGATTGCTTTGGCTATTTGGGGTGTTACCAGGTTCATATAAGTTTTAGGATTGCTTGTTTTATTTCTGTGAAAAATGCCATTGGAATTTTAAATAGGTACTGCATTGAATCTGTAGATTGCTTCGAGTAGTGTAAACATTTTAACAATATTAATTTTTTCCACCCAGGAGCACAAACTGTCTTCCCATTTATTTCTGTCGTCTTCAGTTTCTTTCATCAGTGTCTTATAGTTTTCACTATACTATGTACAAATCTTTCACCTTCTTGGTTAAGTTTATTCCTAGATACTTTATTCCTTTTGATGCAATTGTAAGTAGAATTGTTTTCTTAATTTAATTGTTGATTTTTGAATAATGCATATCCCCATGTAGCCACCACTCCAATCAAGGTAAATAATCAGAAAGTTCCCTGTGCCCATTCCCCTCCTTCCACGCCCACCCCCAGGCAGCCATTCATCTAGTTTCTATCATTGTAGATTAGTTTTCCTTCTTTTTGGCAGTAACATAAGTATAATCATATAGAATGTACTGTATTCTTTGGCTTTTTTTTTTTTTTTGCTCAGCAGAGCGTCTGAGAGTCATCCATATTGTGTGAATATCAGGAATTGTTTCTTTTTATTACTGAGTTTTATTACTGAATATACTACAACTTTTTTCTTTTTTTCTTTTTTTTTTTTTTTTACATATTCACCAGTTAATTACATTTAGATGTTTTCCCTCTGGGGTTGTTAAGAATAAAACTGTTGGAGCACCTGGGTGGCTCAGTCGTTAAGCGTCTGCCTTCGGCTCAGGTCGTGGTCTCGGGGTCCTGGGATTGAGCCCTGCATTGAGCTCCCTGCTCAGCGGGAAGCCTGCTTCTCCCTCTCCTACTCCCCCTGCTTGTGTTCTCTCTCTTGCTGTCTCTCTCTCTGTCAGATAAATAAAGTCTTAAAAAAAAAAAGAATAAAACTGTTATAATTATTCCTTCCCACATTTTTTATGAACTTGTACATGAACTGGTACAGCGAGAGGCCAGGTGCAGATGGGAATGGGGATGGAGAGAGATGGTCAGATTATGAAGGGCCTGGGAGCCTTTCTCTGGTGGATAGGCTTGATCCTGAAGGTGGTGGGATCCCCTTAGGGTCAAGGGGGGCATGATGGATCAGATTTGGCAGCAGCGTCAAAGCTGGATCACCGGGGGCCCAGCACGGAGTAGGGAGATTGGTTAGAAGCTGCCAAGGTAAGAAGCAGTTTCCTGAAGGAAGGTAACGAATAGCGGAGGGAAGAGAGAAGGTCTATTTGCCGGGACTTCCGTAACAAAGTACCACACGTCGTGGCTTAAAGAGAAATACATTTTCGTAACGGTTCTCAGAGTTCTTAATCTTAAGTTGTCAGCCGGGATGGCTCTTTCTGAGGACTGTGAGGGAAGGATGTGCTCTAGGCCCCTCTCCTTGGCTTGTGGATGGCTGTCTCCTCCCCGTGTCTTCAGTTTGGCTTCTCTCTGTATATGTGTGTCTGCCAGTTCCCTCTTTTTATAAGGACACTAGTCCTACTGGATTAGGGCCCACCCTAATGACCTGATGTTAACTTGGTTACCTCTTTAAAGAACCTGTCTCCAAATACGGTCACATTCTGAAGTGCTGTGGTTAAGACTCCAACAGGGGAATTTTCAGGGGGACACGGTTTAGCCCATAGCAGAAAGTGAGGGGTTAATTCCAGGGCGTTTGAAGGTAAACATCCTGAGCAGTAACATGTAGGGGGGAAGGAGCAGAGGGGGTGCCTCTCAGCTTCCTGGCTTGGGGATTGAGTGGTGCAGTATGATAATGGAGGGTATTCAGGAGGAGGGAGAGGTTTGAGCGGGGAGAGGGATAGTTCAGTTTGACCTTATTGAGTTTGAGGTGATTTTTTTAGTTCCATGCCCATCACTGACAGGGCAATATCTAAAAATATATTCTGTAAAACCGGGGTTTTGTTGGGAGAGGGCAGTCACGCTTCTACCTAGTATAGCAAATGAGTCCAAGCTGTGCGCACTGAGCGCTCAGGCTTTTGTGTTTCTAGATCCTGGATCCACCGAGGTGGTGGTCGAGCCGCATCCGTGCAGCTGCTGTGGCAGGACCCCTAGGCCGGTGGGGCCGTGCCGTGCCTGCCCCCCTTCTCCCGCCCAGTGTGTTCTCAAGGATATTGTGAAGGACACAGATTGAGAGCCAGGCGACGAGGTACATCGGGCCAGGGCCAGAAGGGTCCCGAGCACAGCAGCCTCTGTCCGCGTGGGGCTTGCCGTGCACCGCCTGCCTGCATGTGGTGCATGGGGTGCATCTGCCGCCGGCCCGGAAGCCCCCCGTGTGACCCGACCCGCTCCCCCCACTCCTTTTTTTGTTAGCAACACACTCATCCGTAAACCTCACGTAAAGATTTCTTGGCTGGTGTGTGGCACCATGAGGTAACAGAGGCTTCTTCACAATTTACTCCGCTTTTTCTGAGTTTAATGGATTCGGGCACATGAGGGTAGACATGCATGACGACTCATAGTTTGCGTATGTCCAGACTCTAAAAGCACCTTTACCTCAGACTGGCTGCCTGATTCTTTGAACCTGTTTTTCTCACATAAAGGCAGAAGGTGGACCTAATGAAAGACTTTTTATACTTCTTTGGAATGAATTCTAGAAATTGTATTACGCGGAAAGATAATCCCAAATTTGAGTAATCCTAGCCCACTAGGTTATGAGGCCGGCAAGTTGTGTTTCTGGTTTGAGTTCTTGTAGCTTCCATTTATATATCCTATAATTTTGAGTTATGTGCCAAGCAGATTTAATTTCAAGATCTTCAAAGGCGCCAGCTGCTTATCAAATGCATCAGAACTCACACCCGGATCCACTTCCTTAGTGTGTCTGTAAGGAGAAGTTGGCACAGAGGCTTGCGGGGAGCAGGTGCCCTACCTGTGGTTACCAGCTGAGTGCTCTGCTTTCTTAGATCTTTTGTTTTCTAGATGCCTTTAACTGTGTGCGCGCACACGCCAGTTTTGAAAATTATAGGGCTGTCACTCAGAATCTCTTTTCTTCCAAGTTTTTATTTGAATTCCGGTTAACCTACAGCGCAGTACTAGTTTTGGGTATAGAATTCAGTGATTCAGCACTTCCATGCAACCCCCGCTGCTCATCTCAAGTGTCCTCCTCAGTCCCCGTCACCTACCTAACGCCCCCACCTCCCCTCTGGTAACCAGTTCTCTGTAGTTAAGAGCCTGTTTCTTGGTTCGCCTCTCCTTTGTCCCCCCTGTGTTCAATTGTTTTGTTAAGTTTCACATGTGAGTGAAACCCTGTGGTATTTTGTTTCAGAATTTCTTTCTCTTACTGAGTGCCAAGTCTGTGGGTCACAGTGGTGAAGAGCCCATGGTTTGCCTGAGGGAATGTGCAGCCCATTTAAGTGGGGATGCTGTAAGGCTACAAATACCAAACAGTCATATAATTGTTACTACATTTTAAGTACATCTATTAATACTGTAATTATACTTTTTTCTTTAAGGCCCTAATGCAGCAATTAGCAACTTTTAATGTCCTCCTCTTTGCCGGAGCCACACTCTCCTCTGTGTAGGCCCTGCTCTTCCCTCCACTGTGTGCCTGTTTCCCTTCAGGGCTTGTGTTCCCTGACAAGTGTATCAAAAGGAGACTCCTTCCCCCTCATTAGTATCCAGAGAAAACCTTGGCTTTCTTAATTGCATTAGTGATAGTCCGTACTTTATTCATTCATTTACTTTTTAAAAATTGTTTCCCTTCCTAAGACAGAGGCTTCCATAGGGGCCAGGGCTGCCTGACCATTCTTGGGATCTGGCAGATGGGCTCCTCCCTCTTCCTGCTCTCTTGTCTCTCTTTACATTTGCTTGCCCCTGTTGTAACTCTTTATCAAAGTGTTATTTCATGTTTTCTTAGGTCTTCTCCAACCAGACAGATCGCTCTTTAGGCACAGCTTTTTTTTTTTTTTTAAGATTTTACTTATTTATTTGACAGAGAGACAGCGAGAGAGGGAACACAAGCAGGGGGAGCGGGAGAGGGAGAGAAGCAGGCTCCCCGCTGAGCAGGGAGCCCGATGCGGGGCTCGATCCCAGGACCCTGGGACCATGACCTGAGCCGAAGGCAGACGCTTAACGACTGAGCCACCCAGGCGCCCCTAGGCACAGATTTTTCTTAAATACAAAACAAAACACATATTGTTTCCAGTGGTGTGGGACTTCTTCCATTTCCGAGGCCATAGCTCACAAATCTGTTTTCAGGCTTCTCACTGGGATTCCACAGCTGTGTTCTCATTTGCTTGGTGGGCATTGCTGCCTTGATCGTCCCAAGGATTCTCTCGATGCCTCAGTTTCCTTATCTTTAAAATGCGGACAGCAGTTAGTATGTGTAGGGCTACTGAGAGTAAACTAATACTTTCAAAATGCAGAGAGAGTGGTTAAGAGTTAGCAGTTATTACTACCTCAACTTGTCTGCTGCCCCATTCCTTGCCTTTCAGTATGGTTCCCAGCAGGAACACTTTGGACTGGAATACAGTGTTACTTGTTTTTCTATAGCAGGTTTCAATTGCACTGTTGTGACCCAGTGGTATGTGATTTGTTACTAATAGAACAGTGTATTATGGTTTGTAAATAATTTACCTTTTTTACTGAATGAGAGCAGATTTATGTTAATCTCTTTAAACAGGTCACTTTTGCTCTAGTGTAATACTGGGTGGAGGGGGGAGGGGAGGGATGTGGCCTCACAGCGAGCCCCCCAGGAACGCCACATAACCACTAGCCTGTCTTACCTGGGCCTCAGCCTCCGCCTCCAGTGCATGCGCTTATTGGTAGGTCACGAATACTTAGGGAGGTTACACATCATTGGAATTCTTTGCCTCCTTACAGAATTAATTTTGGTTTAATGAAAACATTGGTCTAGTTCTAGAATGGCCTGTCACATCAGACTGTGATTTTGTGGTATCTTGTCTCTACTACCAGATTCTTTGCTATGTTTTGTTAAGCTTAGATTCCTTTTCCCTCACCCCCTCCCAATGTATTGTTTGACTCTGTGGAAGAATAAATGTTGCTGCTAGCCTATTTGAAGAGCATACCACTTTGAAGGGTTTTATGGTGCAGGATATTATGTGACAAGTGACATTGGATAGCCCTTTACATAGGCTTAAAGTATTCCTTATTAATTCATTTATACTTGGTACGGCCTTGGTGAAAACCAGAGTAGACTACTGAAGCTTTTGTTATCCTTAAAGATGAGAAAACTGAAACTCAAAGATTAAGTAGGATTTTGTTCCAGTTTCTTAATTAGTAGGTGCTAACATGAGGATGTTTGTTCTTCCATTCACTCACTCAGCAGACGACAAATGCCTGCTATACACCAGGGACTGGGAAGGTTGTGGTGACCCCGAATTGAACTTGAGTCTTCCAACTCCAGATTCCCTGCCTTTTCTTTTCTGGTGGATGTTCTGTGTTATGGGTGTTAATATTTTAGTTCAAGACTACTGTATGGGCCTGACGTTATCATCAGGGTACTGAAGGGAACCCCTGTACACGTTCCACGCTACTCAGCTTATTCTCACTCCCACTTGAGCTAATCTGTGCCCTGTTTTTATTTATGAAAATTATTTTCTCTGCTTTCTACTTTCAGGATTATCAGAAAAGTTTGAACGATCTCAATAAAGTTCTCCAACTAGATTCAAGTATTGTTGAGGCAAAGATGGAACTGGAAGAGGTAACCAGATTCCTTAACATTAAGGACAATACGACATTATTCAACAAAGAAAAGGAGAGAAGGAAAATTGAGATTCAAGAGGTATTTGATTATCTTAAGGACTCTCTGGGGGATTTTATATTGGATTCTAAAGTCAGATTCAGGGGCACCTGGGTGGCTCAGTCGTTAAGCGTCTGCCTTCGGCTCAGGTCATGATCCCAGGGTCCTGGGATCGGGCCCTGCATTGGGCTCCCTGCTCGGCGGGAGGCCTGCTTCTCCCTCTCCCACTCCCCCTGCTTGTGTTCCCTCTCTCACTGTCTTTCTCTGTCAAATAAATAAAATCTTTATTTTTTTTAAGTCAGATTCTTATGAGTTCTACAAAAATGTTTTAAATTTTTTTATTTTAATCTCCAGTGAAGAAATTTCAACCAGTTACAGAGACAAAACTTTTCCTTTGCCATAATTAGCCATTGTATTGCGCAGCTTGGGTCCATGGAGGATATTGGGATTCTGCATTACTGCAATTCCTCCTTTCTCTGCATTCCACCCCTCCCCCCCCCACACCCGCCTACAGTTTACATTGTTTCCACCCCAGAGTGCTCTGGGGGCCTGTGGTCATTGAACTTTGCTTCAGGGTAGACCCGGAGAATCCTGATAGGACTGATTCAAATTTCAGTGGCCTTCCCATACCCCGTAGGGATTTTTTAGATGATTTAGGCCTTTTTAGCACTCTGAAACAAGACTGGCCTCATCAGAGATCTTGGACTACTGAATCAAACTCCGTGTCTTGTGCTCCAGCTTTTTGCTTTGCCTTTAGTGAAGAATGTCAGCTCATGGGGCACCTGGGTTACTTAGTGGGTTAAGTGTCTTGACTCTTGATTTCAGCTCAGGTCACAATCTCATGGTTGTGAGATCAAGCCCTGCTTTGGGCTTCTGAGCTGATGTGGAGTCATGGAGCCTGCTTAGGATTCTCTCTCTCCCTCTGCTCCTCACGGCCCCCCCGCCAATGTGTGTGCACGCACGCGTACAAGCTCTTGTAAAAAAAAAAAAAAAAAAAAAAAGCTCTTGAATTCTTGTGTATTCATGAATGGTGATATGACTCCATTTATCACCTTATATTTCCATTATAGAGTAAAAGGCAAAAAGTGAGAGAAACCAGAAGTATTTTTCCTCTAAGGAGGGAAGAAAAGTATGTCTTAAGTTCATGTCTTTGTTAAATATAAGAAAATAAGTGTAAAATTTATCATGAAAAAGAGAAAGTTTTTTTTCTTTTTTTTTAAGATTTTATTTCTTTGACAGAGAGAGAGACACAGCGAGAGAGGGAACACAAGCGGGGGAGTGGGAGAGGGAGAAGCAGGCTTCCCGCCGAGCAGGAAGCCTGATGTGGGACTCGATCTCAGGACCCTGGGATCATGACCTGAGCCGAAGGCAGACGCTTAACCGACTGAGCCACCCAGGCGCCCTGAGATAAAGTTGTTATAGGTCGTCTTTCATGGAAAACTATAAAAAATTTTAATACTTTCATGAAGGGATATTTAAAACTTCCTAAAAAGAATAGATTTTACTAATATAAATTACACTTTTCACTTAGAATTTGACTAAAATATAGCCTACTAGTGTTTTCCAGTTCCTTCCCATTTTAATAAACGTAGCTTGGGATGTGGGCAGTGGCTGTTACGTCACAGTATCATTTTTTTCCCTCATGAAGGTGAGCGAAGGCCAGGAGGAAGAGCCTGGAAGGACCTCGGAGGAGCTCTCCACTGACTGCCCTGCCTCTGAGAACGGGGACACAACCAGCGGGCTACCAGAATACGATGAAAAACTACCTATCACCAAGCCTAACAACGCCTATGAGTTTGGTCAGGTTATAAACGCTATCAGTATGCGGAACGATAAACAAGCCTGTGCACACCTTTTAACCATCACTGAACCGAAAGATTTGCCAATGTTGTTGAGTAACAAACTTGAAGGGGATACATTCCTTCTCCTCATTCAGTCTCTGAAAAATAATCTTGGTAAAGATCCCTCATTGGTGTATCAGCATCTTTTATATCTAAGTAAAGTAGAAAGGTTCATGGTAAGTGGAAAAATGACTTAATAGAGATTTTCTTCCACGGTTTCTGTAACTTTAAAATGTTCATTTTTTCTTAATTAAGCTAATACAGTTTTTCTCTTTCTTCCAGATGATGTTGACACTAATTAGCAAGGGCCAAAAGGAGCAAATTGAACAGCTCTTTGATGACCTCTCAGACACACCAAACAAACATTTTACTTTAGAAGACGTACAGGCCCTAAAAAGGAAGTATGAGCTTTAAGTAAGACTATGGTTAGATTTCTTCCATGCATGTATGTTTTCCAGTAACGCTAGTGGGATGGTATTGTAATAGAGTTGCATGGATAAAACCTGGTTTAGAAAAGATCCTTTGGTCTGGACTATAAAATATTTTACTTATTTTTATACATAGAACATGTATATTCTACAATATTCTTATTAGTTGTAAATATTTTCTTACGTACCAAGAGCTAACATCTTTATATTTAATAAGTATATTTCGAACTTGTTTAAAGTACATTTTAATTTATATTATACATTTTCTTTTAATTACTCACTTGTTAAAAATTTGAGTTAAATTACATTTCTTTGGGCTCTGAAGGATTCCTCTAAAGTTTGATAGAAATGTATTTCTTTAAAAATCATTAACAATGATTATTATATCACCTTTATTTCCTGCTATGATATATATAAATCCCATTTTATACTACTTGTGGATTACAGTCTGCTTGGGTGAAATGCAACACTTAAGTCTTCTGAGATGATTATTAAATAAATTGTGATTATTAATTCAAGAGCTATAAGAGGAACTTATTTTTTCTTACATGGAAACATTAAAAACAAAAATTGGCAAAAATTTTTACTACTTTTTCTAGATTTTAAAAAGCTCCTGTCCCGTATATATTGCTTATGTAAATAATAACGAAACCACCACTGTATAAAAGCAAACTAAGCCTCCGTTTTGTCACCTCCACATTTTCCCCAATGTTTAAATGTTCCTTTTCCTTTTCCTTTAAGCATGACCATATTTATTCCCTTAATGGAAAGTGAGGAAATCTAACCATATTGAAAGCTCCTTTGTTAATTGGGTCAAAGTAAAAGTATTTCTTACAATAAAACATTTAGGTCTGTATCAATGTACTGTCATTTATTCCTATAGTTGTTAGAGTCAATTCTCTTTTTCTGGAGCATTCTTTAGGTATCACTTTCATTATTTCCATATTCATTATCTAATCTTTTAGAATTACAGAATTTTAAAAAATCATTGTGGGTAAATGATACCTTTCAAACTCTGACATTTTTCTTTTTAACTGTTCTTTGTTCATTCATGAAAATCTGTGACTCGAGTCTTCAGGCAAACAAAAGTTTTCTCCTTTTGAATGTTAGTAAACTCCAGAGACATCACAAGGAAACCTTTTTTGTTGACAGTTACATACCCAGCACCTGGCTGCACGGGGCTAAGCCGTCTGGCAGTGGTGGGCCTCTCCAGAGAAGGTAGAAAGTAGTGAGTGCCCAGCTATGCCAGTTGTTGGGTCACGGCTGGAGAAATCCATTTGTCTCCAGCAGCAGCCTGGGTACCAAAGTGGACCTGCAGGATTTTGAAGGGGAGGGAAGAGAGGGGAAGGAAGCAGGTAAGAATATCAAAGGGCATTAGAAGAAAGAATGCAGTTCCTGCTGACTGCTTCAAGCAGTCTGCCCATATACCTCTGAGAGTATCCCACTCAAGATTGCTCCACGGGGTCCACAGCACCCCCAAAACCCCAAGTGCCAAATGTACACCAGCTCCCACTATGTGGCTGGATCCCTGTGCATGCTCATGATGGGGCAGTGAGAACAGGTCCGGTGATGAGAGTGCTCTCAGAAAAATGGACCAGGGTCCCTGGGCAAGGGAGAAATCACCAACTGGAGCTGTGGAGCTATGGCACCACCTTCTGGAAAACAGGTTTCCAGCAGCCAGCCTGGTGAGTTACAAGAAAAGATGGAAGAGTTTTAAGAATTCTGCCACTAGAGGGAGCAGGAAGAGTGGAGCAGCTTTGCCCATTCAAAAGTCGAGGAAACCTGATGTAGCAACACCGGAGAGCAGCACTCCATCGGAAGGCAACCAGTAAAGGCTCAGGGGGTGTCTGCTACTTGAAATGTGAAAAACAGCAATGCAAAAACACAAACATGAAAATCAACTATTTCACCCCCAAAAGATCTCAGTAATTCAACAGTTGAGCTCAAAGACATAGAATACTGCAATCTAGCTGATAAAGAATTCAGAATAACTGTTCTGAAGAACACAACTAGCTACAAGAAAACTCAACACAATGATATTAGGAAGGAAAATACATAACTTTTTTTTTTAAAGATTTTAGAGAGTGTGCATGAGCAGAGGTCAGGGAGCAGAGGGCAAGGGGAAGCAGACTCCTCACTGATGGTGGAGCCCGAAGCAGGGCTTGATCCCAGGACCCTGAGATCATGACCTGAGTTGAAACCAAGAAATGCTCAACCAACTAAGCCACCCAGGTGTCCCAAACAAAAGAATAATTTATCAGGGGCACCTGGGTGGCTCAGTCGTTAAGCGTCTGCCTTCGGCTCAGGTCATGATCCCAGGGTCCTGGGATCAAGCCCCGTGTCGGGCTCCCTGCTCAGCGGGGAGCCTGCTTCTCCCTCTCCCACTCCCCCTGCTTGTGTTCCCTCTCTCGCTGTGTCTCTCTATGTCAAATAAATAAATAAAATCTT